GGCTTCCCGTGTCCTTGTCTCTGGTCTTCCCCAGTCTCTCCCTCCCCTTCCTTCGGGACCAGGACCTTCCTGTGTCCCCTGTGTCGAGGGGCGCCTCAGGGCTGCTCCTCACTCCTCCCAGTTTCCCCCGACAGAGGCTCCTCTGCAGACGCTTCACATGGACGTGTGGGGCCCGGCCCCCGTCCGTGGGCAGGGTCACGAGCGCTACTTCCTGTTGGTGGTTGACGACTACTCGCGTTACACCTCAGTCTTCCCCTTGCGCAGCAAGGGTGCTGTCACTGAGGTGCTGATCGACTGGATCCGCGAGGCTCGTCTCCAGCTCAGGAGGAGCTTCGGCTCGGACTTTCCTGTTCTGCGTCTGCACTCTGACCGAGGTGGGGAGTTCTCCTCTCGCCTTCTGCGAGACTACTGTCGTGCACAGGGGATCCGCCAGACCTTTACGCTTCCGGACTCTCCACAGCAAAATGGGATTGCTGAGCGCCGCATTGGCATGGTCATGGATGTCGCTCGTACGTCCATGATGCATGCGGCTGCCCCCCATTTTCTGTGGCCGTTTGCGGTTCGGTACGCGGCGCATCAGCTCAACCTTCACCCCAGGGTCTCTCGGCCCGCGATGTCCCCAGTGTTACTGTGGACGGGGAAGGTCAGCGATGCGTCTGCGTTCCGTGTCTGGGGATCTCGGGCGTTTGTCCGCGACTTGTCTGCGGACAAGCTGTCCCCCCGTGCTGCTCCCTGTGTCTTCCTTGGCTTCCCCCCTGACGCTCCAGGGTGGCAGTTCTACCACCCCTCCTCTCGTCGTGTTCTGTCCTCCCAGGACGTCACGTTCGACGAGTCAGTCCCCTTCTACCGCCTCTTCCCCTACCGTACTCCTTCCCTCCCCCCCCCCACCGGACTTCCTGGTACTAGTTCCCCCCCCGGTAGACCCCCTCCCCCCTCAGGTTCCTGCCCCTTCAGGTGTGTCCCAGGTAGACACGGTCGAGCCAGTCGAGGTTGCTGCTGAGTCTGGTCCTGCTGCGGGTGCTGAGCCTGGGGGTGCTGAGCCTGGGGGTGCGAGGCCGGGGGGTGCTGAGTCTGGGGGTGCTGAGCCGGGGGGTGCTGAGCCGGAGGGTGCTACGTCAGGAGCTGCTGAGCCTGGGGGTGCTGGGCCTGGAGGTGCGGAGCCTGCGCCTGCTGGACCTGGGGGCTCTTCGGTTCTTCCGTCTCGGCGGGAGCCGCTCTCTCCACAGGAGCTGCGCGAGTGGTTTGCTCGCCGCTGGAGGCGTGCTGCTGGAGCTGGAGCTTCTTCGCCTGCTGAGGGTGCTGCCGGTCCCGGAGCTGCTGGGCCTGCGAGTCCTACTGGAGCTGGAGCTACTGAGTCTGGGGGTGCTGAGTCTGGAGCTGCTGAGCCTGGAGGTGCTGAGTCTGGAGCTGCTGAGCCTGGGGGTGCTACGTCTGGAGCTACTGTGCCTGGGGGTGCTGAGTCTGGAGCTGCTGAGCCTGGGGTTTCTTCTGCTGCTGCGTCTCGCCGGGAGCCCCTCTCTCCACAGGAGCTGCACGAGTGGTTTGCTCGCCGCTGGAGGAGTGCTGCTGGAGCTGGAGCTTCGTCGACCGTCGAGGGTGCTGGTGCTGCCGGTCCCGGAGCTGCTGGGCCTGCGGGTCCTACTGGAGCTGGAGCTGCTGAGGGTGTTGGTGCTGAGACTACTGCTGTCTGTCCTGGCGGTGGTTCTGCTGCTGGTGCTGCTGGAGGTGTTGGTGGCGCTGGTGCTGTCGCTGAGGGTGCTGGTGCTGTCCCTGCTGAGTCTGGAGTTGCCGCGCGGCCTCGGCCGTACTTCGTTCCGCTCCTACAGCAGGTTCTTGGTCTTTCTCCTTCGGTAGAGTGTCCACAGCCTGTCCAGTCGCAGTCACTGTTGGAGCCTTCCTCTCCTCTGCCTGCTCCCTCTCCTTACACTGGTCCTACTGGAGGTCTTGCTGAGCGTCGTGAGCCTGCGTCTCGTCCCGCGTCGCCGGTTCGTGCTGCTCGCGCTAGTGGTCGCGGTTCGCGTCAGCGTCCTCCTCCTGTCCCTGGCACGCACCGGATGTCTCTGCGTCCGTCCACTGCTCCTCTGCGTGCCCCTTTGCCTTCTCCTCCTGAGTCCTCTCTTCCTGCGCTTGCCGACCCTGAGTCGGACTCTCTTCGCGCTGCCAGTCCTACTGTCACGCGTCTGCTTGCTACTGCCGTCACTGACCCCTCTTTTGAGTCCACTGCTGCGTCTGCTCTAGTCGCTGAGCTCGTTGACTTTGCTGCTCGCTGTCGTCTCGACTACGCTGCTAGTCTTGTTGCTGAGTCTGCGTCTGTCTGTCCTCCGTCCGTCGGGGGTGAGTGTGCTCTTGGCACGGACGTCCTAGAGGACAGGCAGGAGGAGTTACAGTGTCTAGCGGCTGCTTCACCTCATCTCGCGTCTGTACTGCTTGCCCCTGAGGGAGACCCGGATGCACTAGACATCCCGACTCCGCGTTCTTACGCGGAGGCCGTAGAGGGTCCCTACTCCTCTCAGTGGCAGGCAGCTATGGATGCAGAGATGGCTTCCTGGAAGTCCACAGGCACCTACGTTGACGCGGTTCCCCCTCCTGGGGCGAACATCGTCAGTGGCATGTGGATCTTCAGGGTGAAGCGGCCGCCGGGCTCTCCACCTGTCTTCAAGGCACGGTACGTTGCTCGTGGCTTCAGTCAGCGGCAGGGAGTTGACTACTTTCAGACCTTCTCTCCCACCCCGAAGATGACCACTCTTCGGGTGCTGCTGCACATAGCCGCTCAGCGCGACTACGAGCTTCACTCTCTCGACTTCAGCACTGCGTTCCTGCAGGGTAGCCTGCACGAGGAGATCTGGCTGCGCCGTCCACCTGGCTTCACTGGGACTTTCCCTCCTGGCACCCAGTGGAGCCTCCGACGGCCAGTCTACGGTCTCCGCCAGGCACCGCGTGAGTGGCACGACACACTGAGGACTACGCTTGCGGCTCTTGGGTTTGCTCCTTCTACTGCTGACCCGTCGCTGTTTCTGCGCACCGACACTTCACTGCCGCCGTTCTACATCCTCGTGTACGTCGACGACTTGGTCTTTGCCACAGCGGACACTGCTGGACTCGCCTACGTGAAGTCCGAACTGCTGAAGAGACACACGTGCACAGACCTGGGTGAACTGCGCAGCTACCTTGGCTTGCAGATCACTCGGGACAGAGCACGCCGCACCATTACCTTGACTCAGTCACACATGGTGCAGCAGGTCCTTCAGCGCTTTGGCTTCACGTACTCCTCGCCTCAGGCCACTCCTCTGCCTACTCGCCACTCACTCTCAGCTCTGCCTTCGGATGAGTCCGTAGAGTCGAGTGGTCCGTATGCAGAGCTTGTTGGCTGCCTCATGTACCTGATGACCTGCACACGACCTGACCTTGCATACCCTCTGAGCATTCTTGCACGCTATGTTGCTCCTGGGAGACACAGACCAGAGCACATGGCTGCAGCGAAGAGGGTATTGCGCTACCTGTGCAGTACGTCGGGCATGGGGCTAGTGCTTGGAGGGCGGAGTCCAGTGGTCCTTACCGGCCACGCGGACGCTTCTTGGGCTGACGACCAGGCTACGCAGCGGTCGTCACAGGGTTACAACTTCAGCCTTGGTTCCGGCTCTGTCTCGTGGCGGTCTACTCGCTCGTCTTCGGTTCTCGGCTCCAGTTGTGAGGCTGAGATCTACGCCGGGGCCATGGCTGCACAGGAGCTTCGCTGGCTCACCTACCTGCTGACTGACCTTGGAGAGCCACCTCGTTCTCCTCCAGTGCTGTACGTAGACAACAAGGCCATGCTGGCCTTGTGTCGAGAGCAGCGCTTGGAGCACAGAACGAAGCACATTGCTCTCCGCTACTTCCTTGCTCGTGAGCTGCAGCAGCGTGGTCAGTTGCGACTTGCGTACGTGGCCTCTGAGGCCAACACTGCTGATGTGTTCACCAAGGCGCTCGCGCCTTGTGACCATCAGCGCTTTTGCACCCAGCTGGGTCTTGTGCCTGTCTTGCCTCACTTGCTCTCCTCTTGACTTCACTTGTACTGTGACATATATATATACCTGCTCTTGCTTGTCTAGTTTTATATATATGTCTGTACTCCTGCATGTGAACTGGCCTCTGGCCCTGCTCTTGTGCTCGGACTGTGTGGTGACTTTGTGATCCACCCTGAGCTTGCTTTGCTTTGCTTGACTGGTCTTGTGACCCCTTGTTCTCCCCCACTTTGCCTATGGGGGTGTGTCAAACATTATATATGTTCTGCTTGTGTAGGCTACAGTGGGTTAGCCTATAGGGGGTACACAATTCTAGGGTTTCCTACTTGTACTCATTTCACTGCTAGTTCATTCATTCCTGTTCGCTTATTCTCACAGGGGTTTGGGATAGCAGTATGGTCCGCGCAGTCATAGTTTGCCGGCGTTCAGAAAGGGAGGCCAAGCTGGAAACGAACTGAATTGGCGAAATGCGGGGCAGTTTTTTTTTTCACGCTTTTTTAATTATCCGCGGTAAAAAATGTAAAATAATAAGAAAAAAGGATACACATAAACCCGATATTGGTATTGTAACTATCATACTTGTTTGCTTCGTAATTTATTTATTCCATTACTACTCTACATCTTTCTTTTGTAACGTACAAGGTTCAGAAATCTGACATGTGAAACAAGGAAAACAGGAATGAAATGACTATGGAAGATTGGGTACAAATGCAACCCTAGAAACCCTGTACCCCATATGTGCTACCCCACTATAGCCTACAGAAACTATGTCATATAAATCTGACACACCCCCATAGGCAAAGTGGGGGAGAACAAGGGGTCACAAGACCAGTCAGGTAAAGCAAAGCAGAGCAAGCTCAGGGTGGATCACAACGTCACCACACAGTCCGAGCACAAGAGCAGGGCCAGAGGCCAGTTCACATGCAGGAGTACAGACATATATATATAGAACTAGACAAGCAAGAGCAGGTATAAATATATGTAACAGTACAAGTGAAGTCAAGAGGAGAGCAAGTGAGGCAAGACAGGCACAAGACCCAGCTGGGTGCAAAAGCGCTGATGGTCACAAGGCGCGAGTGCCTTGGTGAACACATCAGCAGTGTTGGCCTCAGAGGCCACGTACGCAAGTCGCAACTGACCACGCTGCTGCAGCTCACGAGCAAGGAAGTAGCGGAGAGCAATGTGCTTCGTTCTGTGCTCCAAGCGCTGCTCTCGACACAAGGCCAGCATGGCCTTGTTGTCTACGTACAGCACTGGAGGAGAACGAGGCGGCTCTCCAAGGTCAGTCAGCAGGTAGGTGAGCCAGCGAAGCTCCTGTGCAGCCATGGCCCCGGCGTAGATCTCAGCCTCACAACTGGAGCCGAGAACCGAAGACGAGCGAGTAGACCGCCACGAGACAGAGCCGGAACCAAGGCTGAAGGTGTAACCCTGTGACGACCGCTGCGTAGCCTGGTCGTCAGCCCAAGAAGCGTCCGCGTGGCCGGTAAGGACCACTGGACTCCGCCCTCCAAGCACTAGCCCCATGCCCGACGTGCTGCACAGGTAGCGCAATACCCTCTTCGCTGCAGCCATGTGCTCTGGTCGGTGTCTCCCAGGAGCAACATAGCGAGCAAGAATGCTCAGAGGGTATGCAAGGTCAGGTCGTGTGCAGGTCATCAGGTACATGAGGCAGCCAACAAGCTCTGCATACGGGCCACTCGACTCTACGGACTCATCCGAAGGCAGAGCTGAGAGTGAGTGGCGAGTAGGCAGAGGAGTGGCCTGAGGCGAGGAGTACGTGAAGCCGAAGCGCTGAAGGACCTGCTGCACCATGTGTGACTGAGTCAAGGTAATGGTGCGGCGTGCTCTGTCCCGAGTGATCTGCAAACCAAGGTAGCTGCGCAGTTCACCCAGGTCTGTGCACGTGTGTCTCTTCAGCAGCTCGGACTTCACGTAGGCGAGTCCAGCAGTGTCCGCTGTGGCAAAGACCAAGTCGTCGACGTACATGAGGATGTAGAACGGCGGCAGGGAAGTGTCGGTGCGAAGAATCAGCGACGGGTCAGCAGTAGAAGGAGCAAACCCAAGAGCCGCAAGCGTAGTCCTCAGTGTGTCGTGCCACTCACGCGGTGCCTGACGGAGACCGTAGACTGGCCGTCGGAGGCTCCACTGGGTGCCAGGAGGGAAAGTCCCAGTGAAGCCAGGTGGACGGCGAAGCCAGATCTCCTCGTGCAGGCTACCCTGCAAGAACGCAGTGCTGAAGTCGAGAGAGTGAAGCTCGTAGTCGCGCTGAGCGGCTATGTGCAGCAGCACCCGAAGAGTAGTCATCTTCGGGGTGGGAGAGAAGGTCTGAAAGTAGTCAACTCCCTGCCGCTGACTGAAGCCACGAGCAACGTACCGTGCCTTGAAGACAGGTGGAGAGCCCGGCGGCCGCTTCACCCTGAAGATCCACATGCCACTGACGATGTTCGCCCCAGGAGGGGGAACCGCGTCAACGTAGGTGCCTGTGGACTTCCAGGAAGCCATCTCTGCATCCATAGCTGCCTGCCACTGAGAGGAGTAGGGACCCTCTACGGCCTCCGCGTAAGAACGCGGAGTCGGGATGTCTAGTGCATCCGGGTCTCCCTCAGGGGCAAGCAGTACAGACGCGAGATGAGGTGAAGCAGCCGCTAGACACTGTAACTCCTCCTGCCTGTCCTCTAGGACGTCCGTGCCAAGAGCACACTCACCCCCAACAGACGGAGGACAGACAGACGCAGACTCAGCAACAAGACTAGCAGCGTAGTCGAGACGACAGCGAGCAGCAAAGTCGACGAGCTCAGCGACTAGAGCAGACGCAGCAGTGGACTCAAAAGAGGGGTCAGTGACGACAGTAGCAAGCAGACGCGTGACAGTAGGACTGGCAGCACGAAGAGAGTCCGACTCAGGGTCGGCAAGCGCAGGAAGAGAGGACTCAGGAGGAGAAGGCAAAGGGGCACGCAGAGGAGCAGTGGACGGACGCAAAGACATCCGGTGCGTGCCAGGGACAGGAGGAGGACGCTGACGCGAACTGCGACCACTAGCGCGAGCAGCACGAACAGGCGACGCGGGACGAGACGCAGGCTCACGACGCTCAGCAAGACCTCCAGTAGGACCAGTGTAAGGAGAGGGAGCAGGCAGTGGAGAGGAAGGCTCCAGCAGGGACTGCGACTGGACAGGCGGTGGACCCTCTACTGGAGGAGAAAGACCAAGAACCTGCTGCAGGAGCGGAACGAAGTACGGCCGAGGCCGCGCGGCAGCTCCAGACGCAGCAGGGACAGCACCAGCACCCTCAGCGACAGCACCAGCGCCACCCACACCTCCAGCGGCAGGACCAACAGCAGTAGGCTCAGCACCAGCGCCCTCAGCAGCTCCAGCTCCAGGAGGACCCGCAGGTCCAGCAGCTCCGGGACCGGCAGCACCCGCACCCTCGACGGTCGAAGAAGCTCCAGCTCCAGCTCCAGCAGCACCTCCAGACTCAGCAGCACGCCTCCAGCGGCGAGCAAACCACTCGCGCAGCTCCTGTGGAGAGAGGGGCTCCCGGCGAGACGCAGCAGCAGGAGAAACCCCAGGCTCAGCAGCTCCAGACGCAGCACCCCCAGGCTCAGCAGCTCTCAGCTCAGCACCCCCAGGCTCAGCAGCTCCCGACCCAGGACCCCCAGACCCAGCACCTCCAGGCACAGCACCCCCAGGCTCAGCACCCCCAGGCTCCGCACCCTCCGCAGTAGCACCCTCAGGCCCAGCACCCCCAGCAGTAGTACCCCCAGGCTCAGCACCCCCGCGCACAGCACCCCCAGAGTCAGCACCCCCAGGCTCAGCACCCGCAGCAGCACCAGAGTCACCAGTAACCTCGACCGGGTCAACGGCGTCTACCTGGGACACACCTGAGGGGGCAGGAACCTGAGAGGGGAGGGGGTCTACCGGGGGGGGAACCGGCACAAGGAAGTCCGGGGGAGGGGGGAGGGAAGGAGTGCGGTAGGGGAAGAGACGGTAGAAGGGGACTGACTCGTCCAACGTGACGTCCTGGGAGGACAGAACACGACGAGAGGAGGGGTGATAAAACTGCCACCCTGGGGCGTCAGTGGGGAAGCCAAGGAAGACACAGGGAGCAGCACGAGGGGACAGCTTGTCCGCAGACAAGTCGCGGACAAACGCCCGAGATCCCCAGACACGGAACACGGACGCATCGCCAACCTTCCCCGTCCACAGCAAGGCTGGGGACATCGCAGGCCGAGAGACCCGGGGGTGAAGGTTGAGCTGATGCGCCGCGTACCTCACCGCAAACGGCCACAGAAAATGGGGGGCAGCCGCATGCATCATGGACGTACGAGCGACATCCATGACCATGCCAATGCGGCGCTCAGCAATCCCATTTTGCTGTGGTGAGTCCGGAAGCGTGAAGGTCTGGCGGATCCCCCGTGCGCAACAGTAGTCTCGCAGAAGGCGAGAAGAGAACTCTCCGCCTCTGTCAGAGTGCAGACGCAGAACAGGAAAGTCCGAGCCGAAGCTCTTCCTGAGCTGGAGACGAGCCTCGCGGATCCAGTCGATCAGCACCTCAGTGACCTCACCCTTGCTGCGCAAGGGGAGGACTGTGGTGTAACGCGAGTAGTCGTCAACCACCAACAGGAAGTAGCGCTCGTAACCCTGCCCACGGATGGGGGCTGGGCCCCACACATCCATGTGAAGCGTCTGCAGGGGAGCCTCTGTCGGGGGGAAGTGGGAGGAGTGAGGAGTAGCCCGGAGGCGACCCTCGACACAGGGGACACAGGAAGGTCCTGGCCCGGAGGGGAGAGGAGGGAGAGACTGGGGAAGACCAGAGACAAGGACACGGGAAGCCATGCTTCGAAGACGGGGCAAGGAGGGGTGGCCAAGACGGTGGTGCCACAGGAGAGTCTCGTGAGACAGGAGGCGACAAGAACAGGGGGCAGACTCAGGACCTGACCGGGACGCAGCAGCAAGTACCTGACCCGACGCAGCCACCTGACCAGACGCAGGGACAGGAGGAGACTCAACGGTCAGGGTGTAGAGACTCGACCCCGGCCGACGCGAGAACGTGGCCAGGTGTCGGCCTGTGCGTGCCTCCGTGCAGTGGGTCACGCGCTGACTCGCAGGAGTGAACTGGTGAACACCCCCATCCTGCAGGTCCGCTCCACTCACCAAGTTCGTGGAGAACGAGGGAAGGTACAGACCCGACAGGGTGCCCGAAGGGGCAGCCGGACACGGGAGGACAGTGGAGAAGTGAGACAGGACAGGACCTCCAGAGGGGTCAGCAAGGGAGACTGCAACCGGCCGGCCGAGCGGCGTAAGGGTAGTGCGGTCTCGAAAGAAGGACCGAGAAGCTCTGGAGTCAAGTGTGAAAGTGAGGGAGGACGAGGACGACGCAGTACCTGAGAGCGCAGTCTCACCAGTACCTGAGAGCGCAGACGCACTGGCACCTAGAGCAGCAGCCTCACAAGCACCTAGCGCAGCAGTACCAATGCCCGGGTCGGGCTGGAAACAACGGTAACCCTCATTCTCCTCACTATAATCCACAACATACATAGCAGTAAGGATAGCATCAAAATCAAGATCAAAGATCGCTACACCAGCCCTGAGAAGCTCATCCCAGCGAGGGATCTCACTAGCCCCAGGGAACTGCTGACGCCAGGCGTCCGTCAGGCGGCCAAAGCAGCGCTGGGTGGCGTGGGCACCCCCACACTGCTCACCCGCGCGGTCGCCGGAACGAAGAACGTAGGTGCAGGGACCAGTACCCCCACCCCTCAGACGTCAGCGTACCACTCACGAAGCTGCTGAGGCGAAGGGATGTCCCGCGAGCGCTGCTGCTGCTGCCGGTGCGAGCGCTGGCCACCACCACCGCCGCTACGCTGCTGGGTACCACCCCGACCAGCTCCACCTCCTCCACCACCACTGCCTCCTCCGCTGCCGCCTCCACCGCCTCCACTTCCGCCGCCTCCACCTCCGCCGCTGCCTCCACCACCACCGCTGGCACCACCACCACCGTCTCCGCCGCTGCTGCCACCACCACCACCACCACCCCCGCCACTAGTCCCGCCGCCACCCCCACTCCCTCCGCCGCCACCGCCGCCACCGCCACCGCCCCCTCCAGCTCCACCCGCGCCCTTGCCCCCCTTGCCCTTGCTGGAGCGACGTCTCCCACTAGGGGCAGACGCCGCGCCGACCGACTCAAGACCAAGCAAGTCGGCAGCAGCAGCAGAGGCAACAGAGGGCAGCAAGGGGGAAGGAGAGCACCCCTCAAAGATGGGGGTGCGAGGGTCACCACGAGAAGCACCTACAGCAACTATGCTCTTCTCCGCTGCAAGGAGGGCCTTCTCGAGGAGGTCGACGGTGAGGGTGGTGGGACAGACTGCGAGAAAGTGGTCCCTGACGACGCGAAGGGAGTTAGGGAGGCGCGCGACTACGTAGTAGAGAGCGATGTACATGGGGGGGGGGGTTCTTAGCGCAGAACTCAGCAGGAAGGGCGGCGCGGTAGCGAGTGTCACTGGTGCGGAGGTGCGTAATGAGGTCAGCGACAGTGGGAAAGGCAGAGAGGTCAGGAAAGAGGTAGGGAAGCATGAGACGGCTCAGTGCAGCAGTGGCAGGGGAGGAGTAGCGCGCAACTACAGCGTCGTACAAGGTCTGAGCACTCTTGTACTGACTAAAGTGCGCACGCTCAGAGGTAGGGAGGTGGCGACGCACAGCAAGACGTGCAGCAGCATCGCGGGTGGCCCACTTAGAGCGGACAGCGGGATCAGCATCAGCAGCAGGAGCAGGAGAGGCGCCAGAGGTGAGATCAAAGAGAGAAAGGTCGTCAGCCCTGTCGCACTGTAAGAACAGCTGCAGGTCGTCTAACCAGACCTCAAAATCAATGGCGCGACCCTCAGCGTCAAAAGCTAGGACACTAGGGGTAGCCATGGCGACGACAGCGACGCAGTGCAAGCAGCAGGGAAAGAGCTCGCAGTGGCAGTGGGACTGTGCTCACCAGGCAGGGCAGGTCGAGTAGGTATGCAGAAAGGCGGCTCAGCGACCTGGCGGCTCGGGTGCTGGGCGGCTCGGGCGCAGGGCGGCTCGGCTCCCGGGCGGCTCGGCTCCCAGGCGGCTCGGCTCCCGGGCGGCTCGGCGGCTGGGCGGCTCGGGTGCAGGGCGGCTCGGCTCCAGGGCGGCTCGGCGGCAGGGCGGCTCGGGTCCCGGGCGGCTCGGCGTCGGGCGGCTCGGCTCACGGGCGGTTCGGCTGCTGGGGCGGCTCGGCCAGGAGATCCAGGGGCGGGGCCGTCAGGTGCAGCGGCGGGTTGACCGGTGCAGTGGCGGGCCGGCAGGTGCAGGCGGCGGGCCGTAGGGTGCAGTGGCGGGCCGGCAGGTGCAGCGGCGGGCCGGCAGGTGCAGCGGCGGGCCGGCAGGTGCAGTGGCGGGCCGGCAGGTGCAGGCGGCGGGCCGTAGGGTGCAGTGGCGGGCCGGCAGGTGCAGCGGCGAGGCCGTCAGAGGCGGCGGGCCGGCAGGTGCAGCGGCGAGGCCGTCAGAGGCGGCGGGCCGCTGGGTGCAGCGGCGGGCCGGCAGGTGCAGTGGCGGGCCGGCAGGAGCAGCGGCGGGCCGGCAGGGGAGGCGGCGGAGCCGAGTCAGGGGAGGCGGCAGGGCCGCGTCAGGGGAGGCGGCGGAGCCGCGTCAGGGGAGGCGGCGGTGCCGCGTCAGGGGAGGCGGCGGAGCCGCGTCAGGGGAGGCGGCGGGGCCGCGTCAGGGAAGGCGGCGGGGCCGCGTCAAACAGGCGGCGGGGCCGCGTCAGGGGAGGCGGCGGAGCCGCGTCAGGGGAGGCGGCGGGGCCGCGTCAGGGGAGGCGGCGGGGCCGCGTCAAACAGGCGGCGGGGCCGCGATCAGGAGAGGTGGCGGGGCCGCGTCTGAGGGACAGCGGGGCCGCGAGGGAAAAGGCGACCCGAGGGGTCGCTAAAAAAAGGCGCGCCTCGGGGCGCGCTTCGGTGGGCCCTAAAAAAACGGTCCTAAGGTAGGACCCGCTCTATACCATGTGAAACAAGGAAAACAGGAATGAAATGACTATGGAAGATTGGGTACAAATGCAACCCTAGAAACCCTGTACCCCATATGTGCTACCCCACTATAGCCTACAGAAACTATGTCATATAAATCTGACATGACAATCACTGGAGAAAAGGAATGACTGACCAAACGATCATTGCATTTCTCATACCAGTATTATTTATTAAACGATTTAATGAAGTTTCAAGCAAACGTATTTGAATTTTAAATTTATACTACCATTTCCCCTGCCTAGCATAGGGGGGGAAGTCACTAGTATAAACGATGAATAAACAACTAACAAAGCAATTACAATGTGCAAATCCCAAAAAACTATCTACATTGATCGAGTCCAGCTCAAAATGGCTTCACTTTGATAGTGGTGCACCACTGAAGCTTTCATGATGATGATCGGCAAGAAACCTTTTGAAACATGTAGACATGTATTACAAATGTAACAAAAATATAGTCCCAAGAGAAATAAAGCTAAAAAGATTAAAAAAAGCACTATGGGTTATATGAGACATTCTCTCCCATCCCCTCAATAAATTAGGCTTCTTGGAAGGGGGTCACACACGGGCAGACCCTTGCACGGTTTGTCAGAATATTATCTTATTGTTCTAGCCTGTAGTGGGGTGCTCTATAGCGAGTACAACCCTTCTAGGGTTTGCTATTTGTATCCTCATTCTTGCTAGTCCAATCCTCTTTCTTTCTTCTAATTTTGTCACGGTTGCCCTCGAGCATTCTCCCTGTGTATGAATCAGAGGTGAGTTATCTGAGTTGTCGACGACTACCTCAGCGACAAGTGCTGAAGGTATTGCTGGTGGGGGTTCTACTGGCGACTGTGAGGATCGATAGGATCGAGTTCAGAAATGAGCAAATATATTGATTGTTCACCTGGGTACAACACGAGGTTATATGTAGTCTCGACACAAGGCCAGTAACCCAGGTGTTTTGCGAAGGTTCCGAGGGTCGCGAAGCGTCCCGAATGGAGCATTCCCGAATTCGGTAGAAGCTGTTCGGTGGAAACTGATTAGCACGAATTCCGTGCATGCAATCCTGGTTTGATGCTAAAACTATAACAAAATATAGAAAAGCACCTAACCTTGGAAATCAACCAAAAGCATGCATGATAAGATAAACCTAAGCTGGATTTAGTGGAACAAAGTCAAGGCAAGCAAACAAAGCAAGCATAAACCGTTGAACTTTCACACATCCCCCCTTCAAACCTCGATGACGTGAGAAACACCCTGCTTGACATGATAATCCTTGAGAACAGTGTGTGTTGCCTATGCAACCCAACTGTCCATTAATGGGTCATATCCCTTACGTATCAGGAACTCAAGGGCCTTGCCACCGCTACGCTGATAAGTAAGAACGTATTCCACCTCGTACTCTGGTTCATCCTATACGAGCACAGGGGGTGGTGGTGGTAGCTTCCGTCCCTGGAACTGTTGGTTGGGGTCCTTGTAGGGCTTCAGTAGCTGAACATGGAAAGCGTTATCAAGTTTCCATATAGTAGGTAAGGACAGGCTAAATGTTACTGGAGTCACCATCGACTCAACTCAAAAGGGACCACAGAAGCGAGGTTGGAATTTGGGTGGTAGATGAGACAGGTCCAAGTCGCGTATTTCAAAAAACACTTGATCTCCGAGTGCTACTGAGTGATCTCATCACTGTCGATCGGCATACTGCTTCTGGGAGTTCTGCATTGTGGTGAGTAAGTCTTCTCCCATAGCTGCTGCATGGTGGTGACGAAGTCGATTGCGGCTTGGACGTATGGCGGTGTGGTTGGCTGCTGTGTTTCCCATCCGTAGCACAGGAAGAAATGAGATTTCCCTGTGGCTGCGTGTGAAGTGTTGTTGTAAGCGAACTTAATCGTCGATAACTGTAGATCCTAGTGGCTAATGTCGTCTTTGCAAGCTGTGCGCAGTAACTAATCAACCATCTGATTGAGTCGCTCAGTCGGTGCGTCAGTCTGGGGGTGGTACGCTAAAGACATTGCAAGCTTTGTCCCCAACAATCGTGTGAGTTCCTTTCACAACTTACTAGTGAGTTTTGGGTCTCTGTCTGAGTTGAGTGTAGCAGGGATGCCTTGGATGGAGATGATGCGGTCGAAGAAGAGGCAAGCAGTTGCTTCAGCAGTAGCTGTGGCATTGGTCGGAATGAAGTGTCCCATTATGAAGAACTTATCGATCACTACGAGTATAGCATCATGCCCTCATGAGGTCGAAGGAAGTTTAGTGATGAAGTCTAGGCTAATGACTTGCCATGGCTACTCCGATATGGGTAGATGCTGAAGTAACCCTGTCTTTTTCTGCTTGCTACTCCTCATCCGCTGGCATGTGTCGCATGAGGTGACGAACGGCTACACGTCTGCTGCCATCCGGGGCCAGTAGTGATACTTTGCTATTCCCACTAACGTTTTGTTGCTCCCGAAATGTCTCGCGTATGCTACGTCGTGAAATTCCTCCAGCAAGATATGTCAAAGCGTGGCATATTTCGGTACCCAAATCTTTCATGAACCCTTCCTTACAGCTAAGTCTTTCTCCCACTGTAACACCTTTTGCTTCAGTGCTGTAGTGATCTCTGCGTCCACGGAGTACCTATATTGAAAGAGACCCTTGAGCAGCAAATTCGAGCACTCTTTAAACCAAACAAGGCACTTACATTGCAGGGTATTCTGCGCCACCTAGGTTTTCATATGGGCGCTGAGGTTCCACCGCTTGTGGAACGTATCGGAGAACATTCCTCCTCTCAGCCCCTGCTCTTCTTCAGGCACCTCCTCTTCATCCTGCACCTGCTCTTCTCCCTGCACCTGTTCTTCTCATGCTGTCTCTCCTGTTTCTTCCTTCTCCTTGTTGCATAGCCTCACTTACCCACAATGGAAGAGCTACGTCCCTCACCCCGTAGGTTCCCTCTTAGTGCCGTGCTGCAGTGTGCTAGTGCGTGAGACAACAACTTTCTCTAGTTTTAGAGAATTACAGTGAGAAAGCATGGAGGGGTTGGTAGTGAGAGACCTTACCCAACCCCGAGCTGCACATTTCCAAATGTGCGGCTCGGGGTTGGGATTACCAGGTTTCACATTTCGCCCTTCGATGCCTTCTCCCTCCTAATCCCAACCGCTCCTATCCCATTTCCCCCCTTCTACACCCCTCTCTAACAGTAACTTCGCTCCATGCTATACCTATTACTTATTCCTGTTTCATACGCTTATAACTATCTAGTCTTCCCATGGTTGCAGTATGAAGCCCACACTATACCATCATTCTACTGTTATTGTATATGCAGCAAGTGCATATGCGGTGACAGCTGTCGGAGAACCTTCCTCCTCTCAGCCCCTCCTCTTCTTCATGCACCTGCTCTTCATCTTGCACCTGCTCTTCTCCCTGCAGCTATTCTTCTCATGCTGTCTCTCCTGTTTCTTGTTTCTCCTTGTTGCATAGCCTCAGTTACCTACTGCCCCCTCCTGTGCTCATGCTCTAGCTGCTCGAGCTCGTGTCACGGGACCCTTCTCTTAAGGCTTGCCCCCCTTCACCCCAGCCGTGTTACTCTGGTGCTCCTTTAGGAGTGCCCCTTAGTCATTTTCCAAAACCAGGATCCCTGAGGGACGGACCTCCTTCACCCTCCACCTCTCTGAGCCCACCCCAACATCCAGCGTATCCAGCTTTGCCCGCTTTAGGTACACTTCCTGCTCCTGAATCACTCCCTTCCTGGGTCTTCCCCCCGCCCCTTGCTGCTGCCGCTGCTCATAGCGCCGACCATCCCTCAGCTAGGCGGTGTGGAGATTCTCCAATGCCGCTGGCATCATCACCCGTAGGTATCTTGCCCTGGCTTCTGACAGTGCCACCCAGTTTTCTATTGTTCCTGCCGTCACAGTGTCTATGAGG